AGACTTTGCAGATAATGGGTACTTCCAATAAGAGTGCTTTTCACAGAGGGGGTTATCACCTATGGTAAGAGTGTCTGAGTGCTTTTCACATACAGTATAGGTCCACGGCGTTGGACCACGGACACAGAGGTAGTACACTATTAGCGCACATTACTGGAAATAAATTAGCATGTAATTTTATGATTTTATTAAATGATATTTTGGGGGTCCAAAAGTAAAGCTGCTGTAATTGAAAGTGTTTTTGAGTGGCGGGATTATCATGCATTTATGCAAAGGAATTTAAAATCTAAAATTGTTTGCAAAAAAAGAAGCGTCAGAGTGGAATTTGCACCACATCCGTGTTGGCAAAACTAGGACACAGAACGTGAAGTTATGGGAGTTGTTTTGGTGCTGTTTAGTCCTACAGACAGTCCAGATTCACCTATAGAGATGTCATTGTTCTTCAACTCGAGGGGCTTGGGCAAAATGGAGCTAGACCCCCCATATTTCATTTCTCCCTCGCTGATAGCATTTATCAGCAGTGTCCTGATAAAAACAAAATATGCAACTTAAGCCTGAGCAGGGCTTAGCCGCCGAGGTGGACAGGATTACCTGGAGGCTAGCCGGGACAGGCATCAGATTGTACTGTCATAAAGGGCCATTAGCCTCTTGGCAAACTGTACCTCAAGCCCAAGATGACAGAGCTTTTCAAGACAGACAGGGGGGAAAATATGAAACTTAAATTCGCAATGACAGACATCTCACTGAATGAGCCCGCCAGAAAATGGGTTTGTAAAACAAATCTCACATTAAAAAAAGGTCCTTTGTTTTTCACTTTTATCCATATTTGACACCTGTGAGCGTTTAATTGGTTTTATTACCAAGTTTATGCATGAAATAATGAATTTTCACTGCTCTCTACTTGATGTAAGTATTTATATGAACAGAGAGATGGGGTTTCCACACAACGCACAATGGAGTAGACTTACTTACTGGCTGGGATTAAATTTAATACAGGATCTTGACAGACATATCCTGGAAGCATATTGCTTTCTGTGGAGATTTCCTCAGAGCAACGCTTACAATTTTTTTTTTCTTTTTTTTTGAATTGATAGGTTTTGGGGGGATTTGCCTGATTAATTGGTTGGTTAAGTCTCTTTAATCCATGATGATCACTTCCTTGCATGTCTCACGGTATTTCTTTAAGATAATATTTGCACTAATGCTCCACATATCCGCAAACTCAAAGACAGCTTCAGTTTCTAAGATATGTACTCACTCAGTTTTGAGTGGCACTGCAGGAAGTCTCCACTTTAAGGTAAGGAAAAGTCACAATATGAAGTATAATTGCAAGGAAGGGGTGCTCTAGACAAAGTATCCACAGGTAAAGCAAGTACCACCAGCTGGTTATCTCCACAGCCGTCAGCCAGCATGTCAAAGAAAGTTCTGTCACTTTCTTTGACATGCTGGAAAAATAGATCATGCGTGTTATCTTCAGGAGGTGATCTGGATTATTTGGTAACATGCATATTGCTCTTTTCTTGTAAATCTCCATCTGTTTCCATCCACACACCTTTCACTGTGCAGTGCCTAAAGGTCATATCATAAGCCAAGCCTGTAATAAAGAATCAGGGAGCACTTCTGTCTGCTCTGTCTCTTTCAGTGTGCTTATAGCGGCTGCCGACCTGTCCTTTCCCAGAGGGCTTTGTGAAAGGACAGAAATGTGATGCTGCTACTCAGACACAAGTCGTGGTGGAGTCTGTCTGGGGAGGCCACGCTGTGTCTCCCTTCTATGACCCCCCACAACCCCACCTCCTCCCATTTTTCCTGAGCACAGAGACTTTAGGCGCCAGGCTCGCTGTAACTGCAGTCTCAGGTATGCTGGGCGGATGCTGTGGCCACTTCCCAGGACTTCACCTGCACCTGAGATTGAGTGACACGGGAGCCAGAATCCACTATACCTCAGGGAGAGCAGCTCAGAGTGCTCTATAACTGAAAGGTGAATGAACCTGTGTCTTCATTCGCTGATTGTAGCTGAAGTAAATTTGATCCATCAATCTTCTAGGTATTTAAAATAAGCATAGGGACACAAACGTTTGGTAGAAATATTACTCAGATTCTATCGTGGAACAGGTTTCTTGCAGCTGTTTTTATAATTTGGGAATTTATTACTTCTAGCACAAATGTCAAGATCTGTTAGTTCAAATATGATGACTGGCAGCTTTTCTTTTTTTCTTACATGCTTGTAAATTGGGCTTTGGGCTCAGGAATTTCCAAACAGGAAATTTTCTGTGCAGCAAATTTTAACAAGAACCGGTTTCAGCAACCAAGGATCGGTCTGCCAAAGTCAAAGGCTTTGACTGAGCAGCGCCAGACCCATACCCTGGCCCAGACCTCGTTAGTCCTCAGGCCTGAGCTCGACCCAATCCCATGAGCTAAAGCCAGGCCACCAGACACTGCCTGACAAACACTCCCCTGGACAAGGTTCAACCCCAGTCTGGGCAAGGCCGCATGCTCCATACATTTCCAGTCCACAGAGATCTTCTGACTCACTCTTGGTCTGGCACTTAACTGAGGAATTACCTTACTTACATTAGAAGACTCTGCCAGGGACAAGTTCCTCCTGATAATATAGCTCCTGGGATCTCTAGGGCATACAGATCCCTGGCATGGGTTTGCTTCAGACATGTGACAAAGATGTCTCAGAGGTAAGCCATTTTGAAGATGTTCAACAGGGAGGAGGCCTCGAGATAGAACTAGGACACACTGGAGAGTTTTGGTTGGCTTGGGTAAGCCTCGGTGTCCCCCTGGAAGACTTGGCTGGGGAGACGGAGATCTGGGTGTCTCTTTTCCCTCACAACCAACACTCAGATAAGCAGCAGAAAACGGATAGATGGATGGATATTTTAACAACTTTTAACTGATTGGTAATAATAAAAAAACGAGTTCCAGCCCTACCAGGATAAATAAGAAAGTCCTTCTGTTCATTATTTCACGTGACAGTAGTGGTTAAATGTTACTGACCTTGTTCTCGTCGTGTGTGCGGACTTGATGTTTTCTTTTTCAGCACCTACAACTTGTTTTTTATGAATGCATTTTTACTACTAACTGGTGGGAAACTATTTAAACAAACAGCATTAGCTTCCTACACTTGCCAGTGTCTTATTCCTCTTTCCTCTGAGTGTTGTGGCATTGTCATGTGTAAAGGCTTAGGATGATTACAAAATAATTTGAAAATAGAATAAGTGCGCAGAGCTTAAGTTGAGGTTTGTTCCATCTGTCAACATATGACAGCTGGAGAGCAATTTTCATTGTGGTACAAGTGGTTTTGTGGTAAATGTGCGCTCTCATTTATCTAAAATACATCCTAAGCTGTGGCTGCTGCATCATTATTTGAGCGGGCCGCATGGGTTACAATGTGCATTTGTTCCCAAATGAAAAACCTTTGACAAAATTTGAGTGACTTGAGTGCATATGTTTTGAGGAAAGAGGGCTTTTGTGGTGGCCTGGAAGCGAAATGTGTTTCTGGGAGAGAGGGAAGCATGCAGGGAGGAATTCAAGAAAACAAGATTTCTAAAATATTTGATTTTTGGGACTGATGGTATCGGTGATATTTGGGGGGATGGAAAATACAGATATAAAGCAAATGTTAAGAGTTATACTGAAAAAAATGTGAAGCCATTTCAGAGTTACCTCGAGCATTCTGCTTTCTGCATTCTGCTTTAAAATGTTTTTATATTGTGAAATATGCTGAAACATAAACAGCATACCAAAACTTCTTTTTTTTTCTTCCAGCTGTTCCTTTTAGGGTTGCCACAGCGAATCACCCAGCTCCATCTCTATCCCTGACATCCTCCTCTGTCTCACAAACCCTCTGTATCTCTTCCTTCACCACGTCCATGGATCATCTCTGGGGTTTTCCTCCTGTCTGGCAGCTATATTCAACACCGTTTGTCCAGTATATCCACTATCCCTCCTCTGCACATGTCTCTTTTTGATGTATTCATTTCTAATCCTGTCCATGCTGCTCAGTCCCAAGGCAAATCTCATCCTTGGTGTTTTTGAAAACATTTTATGTTGGATACCCATCTTCACACAGCTCATTCCATTCATTAGGGTTTGGATTGAGTGCTAGGAGTACACTGGCTTATAATAAATTAATTAATAATAAATGAATTTTAAAGAGTAAAGAAAGCAGTAATACAAGAGTCATAATAAAACACACCTTCTACAAGCCAGGTGACACGTGCAGAGAACATGCTCCTCACACCTTTAAGTAAAATGTACCGTCTGAAAAAAATAACAGGCCATTAATAATAATAAAAAACATAATAACAATACTCAGAAGTAGAGCCAGTACCCTGATAGGAGGAGTGAAACGAATGGATGGATGAGCATCCTAAATACATAAGCAATATTCCCCAACACATGAAACACTTTGCAGGGAATAAAGTGTCACTGTGACTGAAATGGATAACAATGTGAAATAAATATTCTTTACACCAAAACTTATTTTGGACATTTTTTTCTGCACAGCAAACATGTTAACAGAGCTGATGAAGCTGTACCTGTAATACTGGATAGGTACTGGTAATGTTAAAAATCAAATTTGAAAAACATATTTACTCTAAGTGTGATAAGAAGACAAAACAAAAAGCGTTCAAACTTGAAATTAAGGATTTTCCTTAAAATACTTCGTTTATTTATCTTAAACAGGTTAGACTCACTGCTTTAATTAAACCTGTTAGAAAAATCTCATCGGATATATCGACCTGTTTCTCTTACTGCACTGGTCTTTGCTTTCTATTTGAGGGCAGAGAGCTGGTTCTTAACTGCCTGTGTGTGCGTTTGTAAATCACATTGAATTTAATTACATCGAGTGTTTCTTGAGTAAACCTGCCTTACCTCGCTTTGCTGTGGCTCACAGTTCCTCCTGCGCTCCCCTGTGCAGTCATCGTGCCATCCATGCGTGCACTTCGCGCAGCCGCAACCGGCTCGATCAACTTTAACTTCCCACAATTCCTGCGTGAAGAGGCTTCATTAACAAACAGCAACACACCGACGGAGCTAACATGTCAGACAAGAAGCAGACCGTAGATCTGGGCTTGCTGGAGGAGGATGATGAGTTTGAAGAATTCCCAGCCGAGGGTGAGTAGTTCACATGTTATCTGAGGTGTTGTTGTTCTTGTTTCTCTCTTCATTATTTGTTGGAGTCCGTTACGTTTTTCTTTGCTGTGTCCTGCTGCAGTGACTCAGCTAGCCTAGCCTATTAGCTTTAGCATTAGCTAGCGAGCTAGCTGGAAGAAAAACGCCACAATTGTTCCGATTTAACCAAACACACCACTTCACCGAGCTCCCAGTAGTTTAATTCACCACTAAAATTTACTTACTGACTGCGCTTAGCTGTTTAAATATTATGTATACTTGAAGTAATTGTCTTACACCGCCAATGTAGCTAAACCAACAAGCTAAAGTGTTCAGAACTGGTGAGCAGATACTTTTATATTAAGGTTTTATTGCAAGCTTACAGCTGTAATGTTTCCCAGACTGGACAGGGCTGGATGAAGACGAAGACGCTCATGTTTGGGAAGACAACTGGGACGATGATAACGTAGAAGATGATTTCTCAAATCAGCTGAGGTAATCTGATCAGTCAGAAATTGTTCATTAAATAAAACTTTTTTTTTTAAAATCTCACAAATCACTTAAAAGCTAATGAAAAACTGTCCGATGACAAACAAAGACGTTTGCATAATCAGAATCGTTTTTGCACATTTCAGAATGCCAGTTTATGAAGTCCTTACTGTCTACTTTCTTGCCTTAATCTCATACTATATCTCCATCTTTATGCTTACATTTATTTGATCAAGTTTAGGGTCAAGCAACAAAAATACTCTCCGTTTTGAATGAAAATCTTTCTGTTTTAGCACATGTGGGACACAGTCTTTCTATTTATTTTAAATGGAACAAACCAACATTTGATCCACAGATGTTTCATATTTAATAATTCAGTCATCTGCTCTGCGTTTGTAGGTCATTGACGTGTTAACATTTGAATTTCTGTTGCTCTAAAAGCAGGGGTGCGTTTTTGTAACTGCTGTTGTGCACCTTTTTTTGATTTTGTTTCAAATGCCTGCCTAAATTAAAAGCTAGTTCATTTCAAACCACACCTTTATGTTAAACACCTTTCACCTGGTTTATATCGATCTCACATGTTTGGCAAGCCGGCTGTGTGCAAATAGCTAAGCAATACCTGATCAAAAACAATAGGACTTGCTAATATTTCCCGTGTTTGTTATCTTAACTTCTCTTTCTGCAAATGTTTCTCAAAACTGTGTCAGAAAAATGTAGATCATTGAGCAATTTCTGATGCATAAACTACAAATAAACAGTGCACTACTTTGGCCCAAAACCTCGTCCAGTAAATCTCTTGGCTGTCGAGAAAAACCACATACAGTATATAATGTAATCGGTCATGAAGAGCCTGATGGGTTATGCAGAGAGAAACTCCTATCAAACAATTAACATTTTTATTTATATGCTGTCCATATGTAGCACATGGTGAGTAATTTTCCCTGATATAACATATTGCCTTTGCACACCACCAGAATGCCTTTTAGGAGCCGTGCATGCAATTCAGTCGTTGATCTAAATGCAGCATGGAAGATGCAGTAACCAATAATGAACTTGCCTGGTGAGATTTGTACCAGTTTTGTGGCCTAGATCACCTTTTTTGACAGCAGGGCTCGTTTATATTTCACATATGTAGAAAAATATAAACGCCTCTAAAACGCAACAGACGAACAACATTTGTAACGTGCAAAAGTACCTTAGGTATGTTGAGTTTAGCAGAAATGTAATGGAGTTGGCAAATCTATGAGCAATCAGTATCCACTGATAGATAAATGGCTGCTTTGTTTTTATTTGAGTACCCTTTAGACAGTTATATGCTATTGTTTTATTTAGGCCAATTACGATAGCCATATTATTAAGTTGTTTCTTAAAGATATCATTATTGTTAAAGGCCACAGTTGCTATATGTCTATATATGTAATCATCAAATCCATAGCTGTATGCATTATGCAGTATTTATATATTTTTTTTCTTCTCATCTCCTAATGGTTCTTACAATCAATAGCAGAGGGTACTTATGCCTCAACCACCCACCTGTAATCATCTCTGCTGACTTGATCTTTCTATTTTTCTTTTCCTCCCTGCAGAGCGGAGCTTGAAAAACATGGTTACAAGATGGAGACATCATAGTGGCTGACAAGGCCTTTCAGTATTCGGAGACATTGGATATGGACATTTATAATTGAAAATTACTGGCTGACCACATACTGCAAGAAGAGCTCAGAAGATGTTAATTTGTTGCCCTTTTTTATAATTGAAGTTGATGGAAGTAAAGTGTTTGGAAGAAAGTGTTCCTTTGAGTGTTTTTCCTTTAATGTTTATGCTACAAATGTTTAGGTGACAGTTAAAGATAATTTCTGCATTACATTTGTGTTAATTTTATATTTGTGTGTAATGCAATCTGTAGACTGGTCCTAGCTCCTCAGCCTGAAGAAACCAGTTGGTTTTGAGTAATCATTAAAATATTGCTGAAATTCAATAGGCTGTAATAACTGCAGTCCCTGTAATCGAGGAAGAAAAGCCAGTGGCCAACAGTGATGCTTGAGCAAACATTCAGCCAGGGGTCTTTGGTTTCGGCTTGTCCTTGGGCAGCTCTTATTTTGTACAGGCACTAAAATCCATTTTTCTAGTTGGTATAGAAGATGACTCAGGGTTTGGCTAAAATAACTGCAAATTACAGTCTTTGTAAGAACTGTTGATCTCCTCAGACGCACACCTGCCAAGTCAACACAATCTACCTGTAATGGGCAGCTTGTTATTGCCCTCTGACACTTAGTGCATTTATTTTGGACTGCATGAATTTTGCATGATCTTACTCAGGTTCAAGTACTCAACAGATATTCGGGATCATTTTGCTTCAACTGTACTTTTTTAAAGGAAAATATTTTATGAAAGGCTCTGTTTATTGAAACTGTCAAAGCGATGTCTGCACGATAGAGGAAGAGTGAACAAAGTGTGCATGAGGGGAAAAAAATAGAGCTGCATAGGCTGTGCACGGTGGAACTACACACAATGCAAACAAGTGTAAGTGCGCTTGTGGTGCATGCTACACACATACAGAGGCAGTTCCTTTGCACTGTGCTGTATAACAGCCCCCTTCCCTCTCAGCCCCACAGCGCTGGGCCGAGTCCCTGAAGGAGAGATTATCCACTGCCGTGTTTGTCAGAGACAGGGAGGGGGTCTCAGCATGGGGCCTCCCAGCTTGCCTTGCCTGGGCCTGCCCCTACTGCCAGCCAGGCCCTTCTCTTCCGCTTGGCACAGCGGGGACTCTTGTACTGAACCAGAGGCCAATTTATCCCCGCCACACTCCCCCGGCAAAATGATTTCTCTCAGTGTTTTGTCGACTCTCGGTCCCAGGGTCCTAATGAGGTGAAATGGATGCCAGTAAGACCGAGGCTGCAAGAGCCGCTTTCATCCTGAAAACAATATCCATCCTCCTACATGAGTGGAAAGTAACTTGGAAACATTTACACAAGCACTGTATTTACATACATTTTTTTCTGTACTGTGGTGTATTTGCATTTTGTGTAACGTGACGTTCACATACTCTTAAAAGATCTTAAATGTGTTTAATGACACACAAATTATCTCTGAGTCTGGATGAATGATAAAAACAGGACACATTAGAAAAATATTTTTCACGTCTGTGGAAAAAAATTGCATTCCATGGAAATTGTTGGCTTTTTTGAAGCAATTATTCGGTCTGATTTGAAGCAGCCCCTATTAGAAAAACATGATCAAACAAGTCAAAGGTCACACGCCCCAAAAAAACGTAAACTGCTTAATTTATCACACTTTAAGATTCATAAAACTAGAATTACAGTTTCCAGATTAAGGGCTAAAGATTAGACTTCTCACTGCAGTTTTCTTTTGTATTTTTTGAACCAGAGATATTTTCTTTACAATATAAAAGCATGTGGTGCCAAGATCTAAAGAGCTTTCCGAGTCCTCCAGAAAGAAAAATATTTGAAATCACAGATTCCAGTGTAAGTAAAATTAAATACAAGTGCTTCTAACCACTACCATCTTTTCCAGTGCTGGTTAGTCTAAGCAAATAAGGTTTGAGTAATGAGATATGTTTGATTCCAAAAGAAGTCTCCAAGAATCCTCCGCCCCTCGAAAGAAAAAAGATCACATGACCTGCAGGTAATGGACAGAGCGCCTCTGGGACTGAAGTCACAGATTTGTGAATCTCATCAGTTTCATGGTTTGGGGGACAGTTATGTAAAAAACTTTTTTTTTTTAACAGAAGAAAATTGAAAACAAATTTTCTCTGTCACGATGACGTCCCCATCTCCACCTTCCACCACCTTTAAGATAGCAAATTTCTATTGGATTGATAGATTTTTTTTTTTCATTCTTAAGTTTATCATTAATTAAAGCTTTAAATTTCACCTAAACAGATTTGGACGTTGTTATTCTTTTATCTAATACCACTCAAGTATGGACGAAATAGCTACATTATAAATCTTATAACCGAACACTTCTAAATTACAGATGCTTACACACAAATTTAAATGCTTACAGACTTTCAATATTAAAACTGGAATAGCGCTGATTATTTATGGTACAGGTCAGTTCAACCATCACTAATAAATTCTTATAATTGGTATCTAATTATGTCATTAGGTTGGGTAATATAAAACATACTTAAATTATGTATTGTGTCAGAAACAATTGGCGCGTATACGTTTTTAATGCACAGCGTCATACATTTGCGAGTAATTTTCAAACGAAAGAATTGTCGTTTTGTAGGGGAGGTTTCATTATTGATCAGTGAGCTCGTTATCATTCCTGACACCATATGCTGCTGTTTTAACGAAGCTCCTTGCATCTCAGAGCTACACAAAGGTGCTCTTTATTTATCCCACTACTGCCTCATTACACGCTCTATAAATGAAACAATCTCTCGCAAACATCGGTTACAACCATAAATCAGCCTTCCGGATATTGTTCCCAGGTCTGTTTACCAAATAAGTGGAAGTCAGTCAGTAAACATCAGTAATTATTATTTAACTGTTTATTAACAGTACAAGACTTATTACTGAAGTAAGTATTCTAAAGTATTGTGAAGATTATTATTTTTCTAGCACCCTCTGCAGGAAATAAAGCAAGGTATCATGTTCCATAAGCTTGGACTCAAACATGCGGGATTCCCCAATCTGTTTATGCCCATAAGGGCTCTGGGCCACATGATTATTCTAAGGGCTGGGAAGTCAGTGAAGTGAGAGAATCGGTAAGTGAGAGCAACAGAGGACGACTTGTGACCATTTTGTTTGTGCTGAGAGCGTAAGATTGGTCCCTTGTGTTTGGCGCGGTGAGAGGGCCTCCGTGGGCCCTCGATATTCAACCTCACACAGATCATCAGGCTTTTCAGCGTCTCTGTTCTGGTTCCTCTTTGATCTTTTTTAATGATGACTTTAATTTGCGCTAGCATTTCTTTTTTAAATTTTTGTTGTTATTGTTCCTTTGTGACCCACATTCACCTTGACACTGTGGCTGATATTGACTGATGTGGGGTAGAAGTGAATAACAATCTGCTTGAAAGGATTGCATTTGAAATCTTCTGAACTGTAAAAGACCATTACTGTCTTTGCTTCTTTATATGGATATCCTCATAAGGAGTAGGCTAATACTTTAAAGAGATTCAAACCAACAACCGAATGCAAGAAATTCTGCGAACAGAATTTTGCGAACAGTCTTTTCCAATGCCTAGATTCTTCGTAAAGCTTTTTTCCCCCTTATCTGCAAATTGTTTTCCCTCAGCCCACGCAGTTCTGAGACCACATGCAAGAGAGCAGCCAATGGAACTGTGGTGAGGACTATTTCATAACGCTTCATGTTGTGAGATGGCAGATCCATTGTTCTCAAGGCCCACAAGTCTGTGGGCGAGAGTCCCCGCTGTGTCTACACTGAAGAAACACACCAGCCTCCCAGGGTATATTTTCCTCGCTTTTCTGCAGACACCGGAGGCTACTGTGACCATTCCAGCTCTCTCTCTCCCACTGCTACAGGCCCTGCACTCCTCTCTTCGCTCCCTTCACTAACCAGCCGGGGTGAAGACGAAGCTGTCGCTGCACAGCTAGGAAGCATGCAGCTGCTACTATAATAGCCCTAATTGCATGTTTCTTTTGTTGGGCTGAAATTAGCAGTGGGGCTACAAAACTACTACTAAAACCCCCCAAAAACCTCCAAGTAAAGATGGCGGGGTGTGTGTTAAAAAAAATACACAAAAAAAAAGACACTTGGGGGTGCGCTCACCACTGAGAATGCCAACCCATTGCAGAATGGCCCACACCTGTATGCTCGCACCCCTGCTAAAGTAAACACAGATAATAAGGTATAATTACTTTAGAAAATAATAATGAGTAGCAACCCTCAAGACCCCCCTCCTCTCAGTGACAAAGGACTGCCTGTTTTTTGTGGGGGGTGAAACAACCCCAAAGGACGCTGGCGAGTGCCCTATCAAAAGACCTGAGGGCCCTACTGAGGGTCCCTTATAGGACCATCATCAGTGTCAAGGAGGACTTGGGCTTTTAAGTCTATTCTACCCTAACTGCCTCAATTAAGCACTATGGACTGACCACGAGCTATTTTTTCAGCTCCATTCATCCTCATCAAAGTGATCCCCAGTTGTCCAGAATGGTTTTCCCACTCTCTATGAGATCTGAAGAAACTCGCAATTTCTACTGTGGATCAATTTATGTAGCTCCAAATCACAACAACAGTTGCCTCAAGGCACATTATAATCACTAACATGACGTGTAGTGAAAATAAAAATGATTAAGCATCTATATGTATCTGTACATAAGAAAAGACCAGAATAAGCCAGATCTTCTTCATGGATTCACTTCTGCTGCAAGGTCGTAATAACGCACTGTGTTAGAAGACAGCAAATAGCATTAAAAGAATAGGATAAGAATAGGGCCGAGTCAGCCGGAAACAGAATTCCCCTCAACTTTTGCATCTGTGCTGTCTTCACACAGAGGACTGAAAAAAAAAGAAAAGATTGTTGTGTTAAACTAAAAGTTAAATATTTGTGGAAATAACTTTATGTTCTTATTGGAAGAGAATTAGATTACAATATTTATACAACTCTCATACCAAGCAGCAGGTTTGCTTATCTTGGTGCAAAAAGTGGTTTTATGATTTTATCATAAAATCCAAGCAGAGGCACCTGCAAAGCTCACTAATAAGCATGTTATATCTTAACAACGTTTCAAAAGAACATAGTTTAAACTCAGCATTTTGCTGTTTCAGGAGTGGAATGTGTCTTGGACTATTTCTTGGCTCTCAGCAGTTGTTCGGCAACCAGAAGAGACTCCAGCCAAAAATAATCTGGCACTATACGTCCAGTAAAATTGCTAATTATGTTTTCCTGCTGTTTACTGTCTACAGCCTTAAACTAAGAAACTAAACAACTTGCTGTAGCTTTATTTTTAATGGACAAATATGAGAAATCACATTTAAATCCATGCT